AGTTCCGTGCCATGCTCAAACCATGCCTACCCTGGCTCAGGGATAAGGAGTGTACCAACGCGAACTTGAATAAAAAATTGAGTTTATTGAAATTCAAAGCCAATGTATGACTGAATGAATGAATCAATCAATCAATCAATAGATAAGAAATACAACTAGTTCCCAAAAAACATTCGAAAACTTCGAGGAGAGCTATGTAACAAGTATCGCGGTATAAGGCAGCGTTCAGACTTCGCGACGGCAGCGCTTCGGTCGCGCAATCGGCGCGATCGATGCGCATGCTTTCGACTGCATCGATCGCGTCGAACGCGCGACCGAAGCGCTGCGTCGCGAAGTCTGAACGCTGCCCAAGACAACCTGAGCAAGCTACTCGAAATTACAAAACCAGTGAAGAACTCAGCAATTTGACAAGACGTGCAGGACGTGCATCGACCAGCAATAACGATAGAGCAAGATACTGAAGACGTTGAAGTTCTGTACCTAAATGAAAAGGGTAACAAAACGAATTCCAAGAAAAAAAAATTGAATACATACAGAAGGTACTTACAGTACAACAAGGGGCTCGCCCCAAGATACTCTACCTCACCTACTGGAAGGAGATTCTGAGTCCACTGATCTCATAGCCTCAAGGAAGGAGATCGTAATTCGAACCTAACTCGTTCTCTCCCAAACAACCTCCCAGAGCTTTCCATTTCAACATTCGGCCCATCTTTACAGTACATGAAACGCGCGTTATCAGGGCAAATTCTCTACTTATTTGAAGGTTCACATAAAGGCTTTGCCATCTGTCTAATGTACAGCTGCAAAGCTTTGAAACCTGCCACAACCTCCCCCAAACAGTCCTATCTCGACATTAAGTTTTCTTCTCTTTTCGACCACAAGAGATGAAGCATTTAGACCGATTCAGGAAAGTTTCTCGGACCACGGAGAAACATACCGGAAAGCACTCGGCGTCTCGTGAACACTCATTAAAGATTCCCGACCAAGGCCATCAGGTCTGCAACCTTCTCCGACTCGATCTTTCAAATCGCATCAAAGCGGTGTTCGCCGATGTCGGCGGGAGCGAGGGAGGACGGGGGAAGGAGGAGGGAGCATTTTGTACTTTTGCTACTTCCCACCAATGTATCGAGCCAGCAAAAGGAGACCTGTAAAATTTTGTGAAGCCATGAAGTGATACCAGCCAAAGATTTTAGAGCTTACTCCTCATCTCTCGTAAAGCAATGAAACACCATCAAAATTTCCTGCTTCCATGATGGCTCGACAAGCTTGCTCCAGCTTCACAGGAGTCACAGGTTTCGGCAGAGAGAAACTTATAAACAGGGAGTGCGTGCCGCACCGATTTCTTGCTCTCGTCTGCGCCCTCTGTACCATATACACTTACATATATGAAAACTGTGACCTCTATGTGCGCCGGAGTCCCCTCCCAAGAAACGCTAGTCTGGGGTACTTTCACACTCCTGAATGCTCTGACAACCGCTTTCATGACCAGGAGTTTGAACAGTCAAGTAATCTTACCCCCTATTTTAGAATTCCCAGAGCCACCACAAACCTTACACGGTATTTCGCTTCATATAGCAAGAAAGCCTTTCCTGGAGACCTTCTTAGGCAGCGTTCAGACTTCGCGACGGACAGCGCTTCGGTCGCGCGTTCGACGCGATCAATGCAGTCGAAAGCATGCGCATCGATCGCGTCGAACGCGCGACCGAAGCGCTGCCGTCGCGAAGTCTGAACACTGCCTTACTTCTATATTTCTGGTCAACTTGCTGACTACTGTGAACACTTGTGACCACCTCAACCAGGGTGAAGCAGCACGTCGCGGAAAACCGCTCCGCCCGTACGACCCCACACTAGAAAAGGATGTCTAAACACCCCCGTCTCTTTATTGTCTATTGAGATATTTGTCTTGTTTCCTCCGACGGGATCCTCGCAACGATATTATACCCTACCGCCTCTTCTCGATTTCCATGACGCTGGGCAAACAGGGTCATCAGCACTGCTGTTCGGAAGCGAATAGTCAACCGCGAATTAAATAATGAGGACACCAGTTACCTCCAGAGGACTGATTCATTCAAACAGTAAAGCGGACTGCACGCTCTGAATAGTAGTCGAAAGAACGACACTTGTGAAAAAATTTCAGGTACATTTCGGGAATTTTATTCATATGTACAGCTGGTAAATCTTGACAAACAACATAGCGTTATTCTTGTCTCCAAAACGAGTTTGAAAGAGCACTACATCGAGCACGGTTGAAGTAATTCAAACACTAACGACAACCATGATTTCGCCAAACATTAAAACACTTTTGTAAAGAGTTAGTTACATTATAACACAGCAAGTTAGTATGGTAAAACGATCGCAGCGGCGTCTAATAAAGATTCATGAAAGTTTCGCATAAATAGAAGCAATGCGATAATGTAAAGTTCGATGAATAAAAAAAATCAATGACATGTCTTAATCTTCACACCAGGCATTCTCTTTACGAATCTGTTCTTCTTCTTCCGGTGTAAAATCGTTTTTAATGTTGAATGTACGACGAATTTCCTCCGGTGTCTTCCCTTTGATCATATTGGCAACTGTTTTACAAGTGACGTCAAGCAACCCTTTGATATCAAGGTAATTAGCAGCGAGAATCAGTTCGAATAAGGTTCCTTGATCAACTTTCAGGAATTCAACATCCCAACTGGGAATGTCATCGGTGCGTTTCTCGCGATTATCGGAATCGTCGGTGCTTGGCGGATCGTCCTTATGGAAAGTACACCATTGCAGGACTTTCTTCATGATCGGACCAGACACATTACAGATCGGAATCGGATCATTAGACTCATTATCCAAACCGAGATCTTGAAGCATAGTGTTGATGGTGGTCGAAAGCCGGATCACATCTCGTGGCACATCGAAATTCTCGCCGTCATTTGTCACCAGCTTCATAATGGCAGACTTTTGGGTGTCCGACGACATATCGTATTGATCTGAAAGATGAGCCATTAACAAAACAGAGTCTTAAATCGCAAATATCAAAATGTGTGCACAAACGAGAGAATGGAATTACGTACACACTAATAATGAGCCAGGAACATAAGACTGCGTCTATACTATGCGTCAGCGTTTTGGGCGTACGCCAATGTTCTCATAGTACTCAAGTTTTCACGGGCAGTCGCTCAAGGGGTTACGTACGCTCAAAAGGCTAGATCGATATCTATGATTTCCCAGTGGCTCAAACACTGGATCGATACCTTTATCTTCCTAATCGCTCTAAACGCTGCCGCACGCTTGAAACGCTCGGAACGATGACGCAAAGTATGAACGCAGAATAGAAGAAATTTCGCAGTCCAAGAAGCGAGCTACTATGATCCAGTTCGTTGCAGGAACCCCCCTCTCTAAGACTGAAGCGGGCGCGCAATCAAGCGATAGAGTCAAAATAGCGAAACGTACATTGACTGGCAGAGGCAGTATAATATGGGAATGAAGAGCACCTCAAACTTGGGAATGTACAAGAGCGCGGATAACAGTAGCAGCGACTCACTCACACTCATACCACGAAATCTTTCTTCTACCAAGGAGTGGTGACTGTATTTCAAAAGCTCCACTAAAAGATGTACCTCTTTACACATTCCAGTTCGCTCTACTCAAAAGTAAGGCTCAAAATCGATATTAGGATTTGGACATAGTTTCAGACACTTTATTGACGAGGAGTCAGAGGAGCGTGTTTTACAGTGTTTTGCAAGGTGCTTCGAGGATACCGTTCAGGGTTTCCGGGTGGGATGGGTTGAGAGGCGATGCTTGACATCTCCCACCTTCTAAGGAAAGGAAAGGAGAGCGGTCCGATTACGGTCTCCAGAGCGAAAATCTAGGCAATGATATTGAAATTTACATAAAAAAGCTCCATTAGCACAGTACCTAAAGAAATACTTTCCCACCACACTTGTGGATAGTGGAGTTCAACTGCAAGCTATGGTCTGAATGACTCCCCATAAAGTACAAAGCAAAGAAAGCACGGGACCTGCTCATTCTATGCCAGCGAAGTGGCATCGCCGGCTCACTCATAGTTTTTGTTTCTCCTCATCCATTGGTGATACCCCTTAACAGTAAAAAGGATAACGCGGGGTAAAACCTGAACTCGTAACAGAAAATTGCCTTTTAGTTGTGGGCGGGTGAACCAGGGAGACGTCAAAACTTCCACTTATGAGGGCCACAGCGCCTTCGTTTCTTGCAGTGAAGCAAAAATGGGATACTTTTTGAGAATTTTAGAGGACGAAACTAAATACCTGGAGTTGCTTGAGCGCGGTGACTAACCGTTACCCGCGCAGAGTATTTCAAAAACGCTGTACTACTTCGCGGAATCATCATGAACATGTTCAAGACAATTGTAAAGACAACAAAATGTTATGAAACGGCACTAACAAAGGAGTATTCAGGTTTCGAAGTGCCTTTTCAAAACAGATTGCCGCATGTTGTGGGAGTGGGAGATCGTATACGAACCTTAGGAGCGTATCTAAGTTTTCCTGCGCGGTTTTCGGAACGTCAAAAAAAGGATGAACTTCAGGTAGATGGCTTGAATCCCCGCGATGAGCGTTTCTACAGCTTTGGTTCTTTCTGTATCCTATACGCTCCCCCTTTTGTCCGAAATGAAACGTACTCAAAGGTACCCTAATTTTTTGTTTAGAGAGCAAAACCTGTTTCTATCACCAATTTCTACCTTATTTTACATTGTTCTCTAACCACGCCTACCGAGAATTCAGCCACAGAAGTCGCTGCTATAGGCGGTATACAAGCCCTCCCATGTAGATTTCTTTCGCGCTTGTATTGCACTCTCACAGAGATGAAGGAGAGATGAAATATATTTGAAGCCCATATCTGAACCCTAGACCATGCAATAACGGGTTTTGAAAAAGCGCTCTAGACGTGAATGAGCCATCTAGATTTCGGCAACAAATTGTGATGGTGGGTTACTAGAAATAAATCTCAATAAAGCACTCGACTGTGAGGTCCATCCTTGGAATGGGCCGTACCCTTTGCCTCCCATGTAGAATCGTCGTGGCCGGCATAAGGTCTGAAGAATAACGTGCGAGAAGCGTAAATCAGGGTTTGTCCTCATAAGCTAACCTGCTTCACAAAACCCACACCGGCGGGATGGGTGGCCCTGGTGGGACTCCACACAAGAGTTGACGAGCGGACCATAAACGTGGTAAACGGGATACTTGTCATTCCATCGCGTTAGACACGAAATTTTCTAGCCAAGATTATCATTGGAGTGAAACATATGTTCAGATACACTAAGGGAGCAGCCTAACTGTGTGGACCCAGCAAGACCGATGAAACTGACATGAACACATGGAGTACCATATGTAATGATGAAGCATCTCTTACTCCTCAAAAGAAAGAGCGATGGAAAGGGTTTTTCTCTGTGCATCCTAAGAGCACAGACTTTTTCCTCTTGGCTGCATTTCTTGCTATAGAGCGCATTTTACCAACATTACCTCCCAGGTCCGCTATTTCAAGTTGCCGAGGGCCAATGTTAAAGTCTCTTCGCCCTTCCCTTGAAAGGCTCAGTTGTATAGTCATTCTCTACCACCGTACGCCAAAAAATGTTACTGTTGTGCTAAAAAGAAGGTAGCAAAAGGAGTACTAAGTGGGGTTACAGCTTCGAGTTTGTTGAAAATATTTGGATTCAGACGAAAATAGCATTGAAACGTGCACAGCCCACAAAACGCAGAGGTATTGAAGTAGACTCAAAACGTTTAGAGGGCAAGTAGTCCTAAAATATTAAATGTCAGCTATACTCCGAGATTAACAGCAGACCGTCTTCGCAGTATTTCGAAGAAGAACATGAACCCAAGGAGTTAGCGCTTGGCACCAGAATGAAGCCATTGTGGGATTTCGACTAACTGTTTTACGACTATCATGCAGATCATTAAAAAGTACTGAGAGTTACGAGCAGAGTAAGGCCAAAATTTTGGTCCAAATGAATCTCAATCACGTGACAAACCAAGACAAGGCCAAGGAAAGGGAGGAAACACTAATTTGTTTTGATATGATGTAATTCAACATAGTGAAGAAAGCAATACTAAAAATGATTACGAAACGATGAAATGAACCCTTCATTCTGTCACTCAGCTTGCGCATTGAGCAGGCATTGCGGCACATCATTACAGCGTGCGAGGAATCGTCCCAGGACCATGCTCCCCGTTCATTGCTGCGTCACCTCTTGGTGTTTGTTAACTGTTTTATTAGTGGGGTGAGGCTCTATACAAAACTTTTTTACAGATCACAGTACTGTACGGCTTAGCTAGCAGAGCAAACAATCAAGAAAATTCTCGAAGAAGTCAGTATGGTTTGGTGCTATGCTAACTATTTTTTTTACTTGATCTAGTTAGGCACTCATAGTCAGTAAATAAAGTGGCATTGTTCAGCTTGGTATAATAGCAAAATCTCAATGATTGCTGAAATCGCTTGCCGCAGCTTCAGGGTGTGATTCAGCGTTGCGGTTGTCTCGATTGAAAATATGACATCGATTTTGATCGCAGCGCCGTTTGGTGCCAGCTTGGTGTTACAGTTCTTCAATGTTTTTGCAAACTTGCATTCGGACGTAATCGAGAGTCTTAATTGCAAATTTGACATTCATGCATGCACCATTGAATGATATGACATATCGAATGAAACGAAACTATTCTCTAAGGAAAAAGATGACGCCAGATGGCACCGACGACAAAACCGATGTTACATTTGTGATCACGCCCGAGCAGTCCCTGCTGTCATGGCGAGAAATTCAAATTTTTAATTTGAAACATCTCGTGAAAGCAGCAACATTTTTCTCGCTTATCCGGATCTTCATCTCTCCGAGTAATTGGAAATTAAAAATGATAGATAGAAATCAAGGAGTAAGCCGAACGAATGGTGCAGAAGGTTAGGAGTCACCGGTGGCTCACATTGTCATGGCCACTGGCTTATGAGCCATCAGTGGCTCATTATCGTGAACCTGTTAAAGGCACATTTCGTGATAGGTCATCAAAATGGTGGTCAAAAAATACGTAACGAAGATGAAAAATGGATGATCGAAAACGGAAACAAATAGCAGAGTAAAGCGTCGGAAGGGTTCAATGCTTACTACTTGCTCCAAATGGAATTCATTGATGGAATCTTTTATTGGCCTTAATCGATCTTCACGTCTTCTTCAGAGGGTCTAATGCTCGCTAGTCCCACTAATGTATGGACAGTGTGAGCTAGGCTCCGCACTGTCTGACCTTCGGCCTCTGAAAAAGACGAGCAGGTCGAAGTGTTTGGCCAGTAAAAGATTTCATCAAAACCCCTTCGGCACAAGCAATAAAGGCAAGTGATCAAGTCCTCAACATTTGTGGGATTGCCTGGAAGGATAGAATTCGTCGCCTCTGAGCAGGCGCTCGCCTTTGCCTTTTCCAAGGAAGGCACCATTGTAGCGCCCTATCAAGCAACACGGCGATCCGGACGCCCACAGCGCCCGGCCGCCCATAAAAGTCCGACTGATGCTGATATCGGCTCATTTGTGAAGTACAAAAGCGAAGGGAATGATATGAAGCGGATGCGGTGCTGCATGGATATATGAGTACATACGTGCAGCCATATCTACAAACAGTTATTGGCACGATGCCAACGGGAAACTCGTCCGAAGTGCTTTCTGAGTCATGTAAAACAAAGGCTTCGGTCGTTTCTTTTTCGCCATTTTCCCCACTAAATTACACCTCGCCAACATTTTAGACCGTGCACCAAACTAACGTGCCTTATACCTTCACAATTCGACATCATGTCGAGGTTACATCAAGGGACAACGTGTCAAAACAGGCTCAAATAAGGGCCTCCACGTTTCAAAAAGAGGCGATTCGTTGGGATTCTGGGCGATAGACCCAAAAACAGCATGTTAGAGCACATAAGCGAGCAATATAATTGATAACACTGCAGTCAGACTGGGCGGTGTCAGGAGAAGCGACTGCCGCCTAAACCTACACCCGGAA